GTGTGGAGACCAGAGGCAACTTTGGATGTCACTGTTCAGCTGCATTCGCTTCCTTTTTTGACGCAGTCTTTCTCATTGGCCTGGAACTTGCTAAGTTAGGCTGGTTGGCCATTGAATCCAAGGTCCCAACACGGCAACTGTCCATGTGCACCACCATGCATGCATTTCTTTATGAGCTGAATTCTGTGCCTTGAACTCAGGTCTACTTGCTTGCAAGTCTAGCATATATCCAAGCTGTCTTTCCAGCTCAGATCCTATGTAATTTTTTGATCATTGCTAATGAAGAAGACCCTTTTGCATGTAAAATTAAACCAGTATGACCTAAATCTTGTTCCATACTTGTTTTATAAATGAAAGCTTTTTTAGTCGTAAGTGTTGTTAGTTATGCAGGTTAGTTCATTTTGCCCATGGCTTCCGTATGTGGAATACTGTACTGTGACCATGTGTTCACTCCCATCCACCCCTTCTATTATCCGGTCCCTCCCCACTCCCTCTAATTTCTTCCTCCTTCCATTATAGACCCTCTTTTTAGCATCATCTTTATGTATTTTTTAATTTTGTTTTTCTTTAAGCTTCACTTATGAAAGAAATCCTGTGGCGCTTGTTTTTCTGGTATCTGGATTATACATTTTGCTTACATAGCGTCCTCCTGTCCATTGTCTTCAAATGACACGATCTCATTTTTCTCTAGCTGACTTTATGCTACTATGTATATGTGCCATGTTTTTTATTTATTTTTCATTTGTTGACAAGTTGCCCATCTTAATTTCACAGCTTGACTGATGGAACACAGCAAACTTTATGTATGAGCTTCATTCCCTTCAACCAGATACCCACCAGTAGTATAATTGCATCATATTCCAGTTCTCTTGTGGTTTTTGTTGTTTTGATTTTTAAAAGTAACTTCTATACTGCTTTCCTAGTGGCAGTGTTAACTCACTTTCCCACCAATTATGTATTAGGGTTCTTTTCTCCCCATGTTTCACCAACATTTCTTACCCCCTCCCTAAAATAGTAATAATAATATTAATGTAAAGTACAGCCATGCTCACCGTTTTGAAAAAGAATTTCAATGTCATTATGATTTGCAATTCTCTGGCAGCTAAAGTATTAAGTATTTTTCATTTATTTCTTAGCGACTTATATTTTATTTTTGCTTTTTTCATTTGTCCTTTTTTGAAAATGTTTGTTTAGATAATCTTCCCATTTTTGATTGATTACTCTTGTTGGGTGTTGAAAGCATACTGGAGATCTTGAGACACGGCTCAGCGGTTAATCAGACTCCACTTTACAGAACCCGCAACAGTTAGTTGTAACTCCAACTCCAGGGCATCTGATGCTCACTTCTAGCTTCCCGGGGCTCTTGCATGCGCAAATGTGCACACAGATACACACATTATTAGAAATAAATCTTTAAGGACGTTTATTGCCTTCTGTATGTTAATCCTGTTAGATAAATATCTGGCAAGGACTTATCTCTCGTTCTTTAAGTTGTCTGTTCATTCTGTTGATTGTTGCCTTTGCTGTAAAGAAGTTTGGAAGTTTATATGATTCAATATTTAAATTCTTGATTTTGTTCCCTAGGATTTTGGAGTCCTATTCAGGAAATCCTTGCTATAATCTTGACGAGTTCTCTTGTTTTTTTTCAACTATTAGTTTCAAGTCTTTCATAAAGGTCCGTGATGCATTTTCTGCTGGTATTTATAAAATCGGAGAGGTATGGGTTTGGTTTCAATCTCCATGTGATGTCCAGTTTGCTTAGCGCTGTTTGTCTGAAGTGTGTTTGGAGATCTTGTCAAGAATCAGCTGCTACTGCATTGATTTGGCTTTTTTTTTTTTCTATTCCATGGTTTCTGTGTCTGTCTTTATCAGGTAGCGATGCTATCTCTATTGCCCATGAGTGCATTTGAAGTCAGCTATTGTCATGCATTCACCATTGGTTTTCTTGCTCATCAAGCTTTGATAATTTTGAGGTTTCTTTTGCTTATAGTTGAATTGGGTTGTTTGTTTGCTTGCTTGCTTGTTTGCTTTCTAATTCTGTGTGGACCCCACTGGTATTTTCTTGGGGATTGCATTTAATTTGCAGGGTTCTTTTGGTGTTATGGATATTTTAATAGTATTAATTCTCTCAATACATAAACAAGGAAGGTTTTTTTTCATATTCTAGATTGTAGCAACCCTTCATTTCCTTGATATTTTCATTCCTATGTATTTCATTTTAATCTCTTGATGCTATTGTAAATTAGTTGTTGTATAGAAAACCTATTAATTTTTATGTTGATTTTGTTTCCTGTTGCTTTGCTGGTTTTGTTTATAGTTCTGCGAGTCCTGATGGAGTCTTGAGGGGCTTTACAGGTGTATCATACCATCAGCAAATAAGGATGACTTGGCTTCCTCTTTTCACTGTCTTCTTCTGTTTTTGTCTCTTACCTAATTTTCTGGTTAATATTTCATTGGTGTTTATCTGACGTGTTGGACAGTAATAATGAGAATGGACACTCTTCTGTCTTTTGACAGATTTAGTATTGCTCACTGTGGGTTTGTACAGGACACAGCTGTGGTCATTTGTATAAATACCATCCGTGGCTGCTTTCACTGTGCCATCGCAGACTTGCAGCCAAGTTAAAGTTTGGCTATGAGCCAAATCAAAAGAATCTGCAATTCAGGACTAGGAGCTAGCTCATTCAGTAAGCTGCTTGCTTTGAGGGCAAGAGACTCTGAGTTCCATCCCTGTCACCCAGTCAAAGGACAAAAACCAGGAATGGTGCCCTGTACTTAGGTCCCTCTCACTGAGCAGTCTCACTGAGACCTCCCTGGCCTGGCACCTAACATAAAGGATGAGATCAGGCCAATGAGGGGCCCTGTCTCAAAAGCAGGAGTACAGTGCCCCTGGAGCTGGTCCTGGGATCCAGACGTGCACACGCTCTCATGCACTCACACAAACGAGCACTCCACCACAGGACCATGTGCACACACATGCGTGCGCACACACTCACACACATCCACCTACAATGTATATTAGTATGCTCTTTTATACGAAAAGTCTGCTGTTCCTTCCTGCTGTCACTGGCTTCTCAGTATTCAGAAGGAACTAAGTGTCGCTGTCATACACATATCCCACACCAAAAAGTATAAGTATTAGAAAACTCTTATGTTTATGTGTGTGTGTTTTATAACTACGTCTATGTGTGCTTACATTTTCTTGTCAGTTGGCATTATTTGTATTTAACATTCTATTTTTCGATTGTGATAGCAAAATCAAACTTTTTTTAAAGAATCTTTCCAAGCAAAGCACATTCTCACTACACATAATTTTTTTCTCATATAGGGCTAATTTTTTTATTCTTTTGCTGTTGGAAAACAAATTTGTTTTATATCAGAGCACAAACACTTTCACAGGGGTAATTTAATGGAATAGTAGGTATTATACTTGACTATATTTCATGTCACAGGTATTCATGTTTTAATATATCATTCAGTTTATCTGCAATCCAATATGGAGTCAATTATACTGTTATTAAATATGACTATCTTAATAGTTTATTGGTTACTTACTGAAGAATTGATTTACGTTTGATGGTATAAAAATAGAGATAACTCCATCACTTGGAAGTCTGGGACAGAAGTCTATTATTGACCTAAACCTGTCTCATCACACAGCAGAAATTTGAAGGCATATTTGGAGGTCATATCATTTCATTCTTTATGCATACTTTTGCCCAAGATTTTGTTAATCTTTCTGGAAAATTGTGTTCGCTTTTATCTTATTTAGTCAGTTCTCCACTTAAAATTTATTAGCAAGACTTCCCTGGTATATAATGACATTACTGCAGAGCAGAAGTAGTGTTTTATGAATCACAACACTGGCTGAGGAGAGGACTCTGTAACTGCTAACACTGTTGCTACATTTCCAATCCCGTTCATATTATTATTCTTTTAGATCGGGTAAGTATGAGATGCTTATTTTCACAGGTACATTCTTGTCTAGCTCTCTTTACTTCAGCTTTAATGTTGTGATCTTGAGCAAAGGGCATGTATGTTATTTGTGTGTTTACATTCCTGTCCACATGCATAGTGCTTATGAATTTACATGACAGTGTGTTGCTATAGCCGCCAGTTGAACTCATTCAATTCATTTTCTGCTTTTGTGTTTTTCAATGTATATATTTTTTTAAAAAAATGATCTTCCCATGAATTCTTTTTATGGAAATCATACTTTTAATATGTTCCATTTTATATCTATATACATATATATATATATATATTAGGGTTAGCTAAATGAATTTAGTTTTAAATTCCAATCAGAGTTTACAAACCTATCTAAAATGATTGATTTTGACATAATAACCGTTACTGAAAACACTGATCTACTTTTATAATGGGCTTTTCATTCATTTTTCTCAGTTATATATTCTATTTTAGTTGTTTTCAGTAGTATTTTGTATTTTTACCAGAATGATGTCATCAAAAGTGCATTCCATAAACTTATTTTTAAATTTTAATTATAGAAATTTCAAATTCAAAAGTTCCTGATAACTAGATTTCTAGTGTACTCTAGGAGAACTCGCTTTAACACAAAGCCTGATTTCATCGCTGTAGTTTAGAAGTTCAGGTTGAAATTGCATGTGGAAAACAGTTAGAAACCAACGCAAACCAATTAGATTTACATGGTGGATTGAGAGCCAAAGTTCTTGTGCCAAAATTGTGTACTACCAAATACATTCTTTATGACAGAGATGTACCAGTGTATTTTATCTAGGTTTTTTCTCTTCTAATGCAAGTATATTTTATTCAGGTTGAAGTTATTATGTTTAGTAGTCATGCTTTTATTTACCAAAATGCATAGTTTAACTTAAAATAAAGCCATTACATTTAATTTATATCTGCTACGTTGAGTGGACATAGCATACCAGCCTCACGTTCCTTATTTTATACATCCTGATTAGGATTCGGAAGTAAGAACTGAAAATTAATTTTATGGGTTTTTTTCTACTTGATAGGTGCTATGGATATAGAGGAGAGAAATCGCCAAATGAAAATTAACAAATACAAACAGGTAGCCGGATCAGATCCCAGACTGGAGCAAGATTACCATTCGAAGGCAAGACAATTTTCTTTTTAAAAGTTGTAAACTAGTCAATCCTATGAAGCTGCCTAGATGAGTCAGACACAGCATACAAGCAATGGCCCCGTGGGATGAAGTGCTAACGTGTGTAATGTGTTTGTGTACCAGCTCTTAGGGATAGACTGCCCCTCCTTATTAGAATTGCGTTATTATAGAACACATAAGGTAAAATAGCTAAAGATCTAAGCTTTTAAATTTTTTAATTTATAAAATTTGTATCCCTTCAAAACAGTTTAGGGAAGTCTTCATTATCATCCTGTAGTGTGTGTGTCTGTGTTTTTTTTAACACATTGTTTCTCTTTTACTACTTTGGTATTTTAGTTAAATTGGGTTTATTACTGAGTTATTGGGGCAACTATATGCTTAGGAGGTTCAAAAGGTGTTTTAGCAAGTATATTTTTAAATTGTCTTCTGGGTATAAGTTGAGATAAGCGGTCTAGCTAGGAAGAAAATTAAAAATGTTATTTATCTTTCTTTTCATAACCTTTATATTTTTAAAGACATTTTAGAATCATATTTTTGTATAACACGCGTTTCCTGTTCACTATAATTATTGCATATCATATTCTCAATAGTATCATCATTTTAGAAAAGAGTGTCATAAAAAACAAAAGCCAGGACAAAGTGAGGGAAAGTAGCTAGAGGTGTTAAGTTGATGACCAAGTGTGACAGGCAGCAGAGGGGGTGGGGCTAGAGGGGGTGGGGCTACCCGAGTGGTAGAACACTCGCCTACACTAGGATGCTCTTGACACAATCATTTGTTCCGTTTGTAAACAAACAGCAAAGAAACGAATCAAGGGAGCAAGCAAAGGCAGAAGTACAGTCGGTCGAAGGAGCTGCACCACTCATATAGTCAGAAATAAGTCCTAATACCAGCACTGGGGAGGCAGCGGCAGGCAGATCTGTGAGTCGGATGTATATGAGCCAGCCTGGGCTACAAAGTGAGTTCCAGGCCAGCCAAGGCTACACAGTGAGACCTTGTTTCAAAACAATGAACAGTAAATAAATAAATGAATAAATAAGCAAGCCAACAAGTCCTCTAGAAGCAGGAGCAATGGTTCTCAGCAGGGTCCCTAAGAGTCCAGCTCTCAAGAAACCCCTCTCAGGGTCCAGTCAAAGACACCACAATAAGCGAAGAGGGGTAAAGTCTCGGAATTTAGAAATCTACTCATAACAGAGTCTGTCGGTCCATGTTTCTCTGTTTTTCTTTTTGTTACAAACGTTCCCGGTAATATATACCCTGAAAACCCAGCAATTCCCCAGCCCCCCAACCCACCAGCTCCCCATAAAAAAACTCAGATAAAGGTTTTCACACACATCTCTGGCTGTCAGCTCAAAAGTGGGAGTGGCTGGTGCATGTCTGGTGAAACTCCTTAATGAAGAAAGAAATAAACCATCAGGGGTTATAGAGGGGAAAGTTAGTGCATTATTCTACATTTTTTAGATAAAAGAGATAAAACGTTTAGATTCAGTAAAGTTATGAATAGGGCACAGATTGTATTTGAATCAGTATGCCTCTTCTCTTCTCCCAACAAGCATAGAGGATACCTAGTAACCAAGCAACCTATATAGTCAGGCTCCTGATCTGATTAGCACCTTCACCCTCTGCTCCAGACCTATGGGCCTAGCTCTGGAGTTTACACTTACTGCTCTAAGCTGTAGAAACAAAAGACCCAGGTCTATATTGTCAGTTCCAGAGTGTGTTGTTATTGGCCACTCTGATGGTGGGTGGGTGGGTGGTTGTGGGTCTGTGGCTCCAGCAGGAAGTGAGTCTTCTCAGGTGCTCTCAATGATCTCTTCTGCTGTCCCTGAGAGGGAAACACAAGCAGTAAATTTCCTGAACTAAAATCATCAAGAACAGGGAGGTGAACGTGAGCATAAGGAGTGAGGAATCATTTAATGAAGATTAATTTAGAGTCATTGTGTTCCTTGTCTATAAGTGACTTAAGACCAGGACAGCAGCTTGGGCAAGTAGTAATTCTATGTCCTTGAATATCTGTGATTATCTTAAATAGAATGAGCTTGCCTTGGACCTAAACACTGATCAAATGCCTGCTGATAAAGGTAAGTGCAGGTAGGCAGATCTCTGCTTTTACCTAGGAGAGAGGAATGGAGACCAGGCAGCGAGAAACTGTTTTTTATTTAAGGGTAGCTAGGAGAAGTAAGCCCCAAAGGCATAGGAGACAGTTTTGAACTGTGGGAATTAATTCCCAAATATATAACAAAAGGGGAGTCAGCTACAACAAAAATCTACAGCAAAAAAACAGCCATTTTATTTACGAAGCAATAACGCCAAAATTTCCTTAAATTATGGTTTAAGCTTTACCAGGGCTCCTGGCTCTGATAAATCACTCGTGAAAAGACAGCTGAGCAATTACTGTATTGTTGCAGCTTGTAGCAGGTTCTTATTTGAGATACCTGACTAGTTTATTTCAGATTCTTGGAACAAAAAGATGTTATAGGTATGGCTAAGAATTTTTGTTCCCCAAAACATAAATTTGAAGTCCTCACCACTCTTATGTAACTGAATGCTTAAAGTTCCAAATTTTTATTACCTTTGAACTAAACATTTTAGGTTTGGAAAAAGCTGGAGTACTAATATAGAACTGGTTATACTAAGCAAGATAACTTCATAGTTTTCAAAGTGTAATCCCAAGGCACTGACTTCCACAGCACCTGGGGACATATTAAAAGTGCAATTCTCTGCATCCTTCATGCCTGAGAAATCTCCCTTCAGATGATTCGGACATAGACTAAAGTTTTAAAACTGTTGTTCTCCTGTGAAGAGATTCTGAAATTTAGTTTTTATAATGGAAGTAGTTGGCTAGAAGCTAGAGATGAATTAATATTAAAAATTGGAGTCTTTATTTTTAGAGTAAATATCTTACTTTTGTAAGACCTCATATGGAGTTTGACTAATCTACCAGAGCTCAACAAAAAACACAGCATTCCTTCTCCTGCTGCTAGGGTTTTGTACTCAGCTCACTCTGAAACATCATCCTGTCACTCAGGGACAACTGCACTTGCTTCCTAGTGTGGAACTCTCTTTGCTTGGTGCCCTGACTCCAGTGACCTCTAGGTTAGCCTTGGTACCCTGTCCCCAGTCATCTCTAGGTTAACCTTTCTTTATTAAAGATCAAAAAAAAATTACAGAGTAATTTTTAGTCAAGATTAAGTTACTTTTAGTTTCCATATTAATAGCTTTTTAGATCAAAATTTTAAGAACCATGTCTTCTTTTGAACAAGAGGCACTCACACCTCTAGTCTTTCCTTACCAATTTTGATTTTTTTTATGAGTCACTTGCAAAAGCAACTATTGGATTATGTATTTCAATATGCTGTATCCAGTACCCCCAAAAAATTCTAACCTAATAAAGGAAATACTACAAAGTATTTTAAGTAAGGTAATCAATTGTTAGAAAATATATAAAGTTAGATTTTTGACTTATAAAATAATAGAAACTTTGGTAGCCTGTTACAAAATATAGAAAGCAGGGATATCTACTGATAGAAATGAAGAAAGGTTAGATAACTTACTGTTTTAAAATATAAAAAATTTTTAACTGTAAATATAGAGAGATGAGGAAATAGCTTACAAAACAGAAGTTGGGTTGTGTCATGTATAACGTAGAGAGCTTAGGTGAGCCACATTAGAAAGCACAGGGAGGCCATGCACACGAGCTTCAGTCATCCACTGATCATGGGAATGTTCCCCTATAGCTCACCCAGTTTGTCAGTTTTGGGATAACCGGCATGGAGCTGAAAGCTTTCCACGTATAAAGCACATGCTACCCTTTTAGCTACAATGCTCGAGTGTTGGTGACGGTAATATGAAGTTCTGTGTCGAATTGTATTAAATATTAGTCTAGTTTTTAAAATCCCTAGAATCTACTTTGTTACCCCTCTCAGGATTTCTCAAGTCTTCTGTGTGGATAATTCTAAATAACTCTTAACCCACAATAGTAACAAACCCTCCTTAGTGATTCTCTTCCAAAGCATCTTACTAATCCAAAGTCTTTCTAGAAACATTTTTCGTATTCTCAGAAACCGGAAGCAGGCAGTATTTTTAATAAGACTATAAAGGAATATGTACATGTGATTTCTATTTAATCAGATTTTCTCATTTTTCCTCAAAGAAGAATATGACATTCCAGTCAATGCACTGGTCAGGCTTTGAATTTTCTCCCATCTTGAATGTGATTCATTCCTTCCATTCTTGTCAGCGATTTATTGATTAACTTATTTTTCATCTTCAAAACTAATGTTCTCTTCTTCTTTGGTTCAGAAACGTGTAATTTGTCTATGTAACTTAGCAGCACAAATGATAGTTGATCTGTGACTTATATAGTGATAAATTAGCATAATCATTCATAATTAAATATTAAAAAATAGCATGGAGAATTATATAATATTTAAATATATAATGTTTATTTTTGAATTAGCTTTATTTGACATTTTGGATCATTTTCAAAACAAATAAAAAGATTCGTTTTTACTATTTTACAAATAACAGCATACAACTCGTTAGCACAGACTTATAATAAACCTCAAAGATTTTTCTCTATAATAATGTTCTTTTTTAGAGGACATTTTATGGGAAAAATTATCCATTATCAACATGGTATTATCTTCTATTATAGTATCTCCATTGTAATTTTATGATTTTACTACATACAGTTAAAAAGCAATATAACTCATAAATTGTTGCAGTATATTCAAATATAAACCAAAAACCTATAATGAATTCACTTAACCTATAATCTCAAAGGCTATTCTATTCATCGAGTTCAGTGAGGTGGTTTTCTAGAAGCAGAAACGATTCTGCGGAAGACAGGAAGGTTCCTCCTTCACTCATGCACAGCCCGTTGTCAGACACTGCCTACATGTGTATTGTCATGTGCCCTTAAGTTTCTACTCTGATAAACAGTTGCTCACACCTCTCATAAACATGTGTAACATATTCCAATTAAATCCAT